TTAATAAATCACAAGGACAAACTCTAGACAGAGTAGGCATATTCCTAGCTGAACCCATTTTAGCACATGGTCAGTTATATGTTGTTTTCTCTCGAGTTTGAAGAGCATGTGATGTTACAGTTAAAGTTCTAAGTACTTCATCACAAGGGAAATTAGTCAAGCACTCTGAAAGTGTTTTCACTCTTAATGTGGTGTACAGGGAGATATTAGAATAAGTTTAATCACTTTATCAGTCATTGTTTGCATCACTATTGTTTTTATATCATGTTTTTGTTGTTTTCATATCATAATAAATTTATATATTACTTTCATATACATTTTAACTAATTTTCTTTCATCTCTCACACTTCTATTATAGAGAAAGGGCAAATAGCAATATTAAAATATCTCCGCTAATTAATTCCCTTTTAAAAAAATATATTTTATTGATTTTTTTTACAGAGAGGAAGGGAGAGAGATAGAGAGTTAGAAACATCGATAAGAGAGAAACATCGATCAGCTGCCTCCTGCACACTCCCCACTGGGGATGTGCCTGCAACCAAGGTACATGCCCTTGACTGGAATCGAGCCTGGGACCCTTGAGTCTGCAGGCCGATGCTCTATCCACTGAGCCAAACCGGTTAGGGCAATTCCCTTTTAATGTGCACAAATTTCATGCACCGGGCTACTAGTATATATATAAAAGGCTAAGCGACCATTCGACCGGCTGGTAGCTGTGATGCACAATGACCACCAGAGGGCAGACATTCAATACAGGAGCTGCCAAGCATTTGGGATTCTCAAAATAAATCCACTTTCCATTGCCAGTCACAATTAGATGCAAAAAAGACTTTCTTTTGTGCCGTTGAAGCAACATTATACTGAGACTTTTCAGTTTTCCATTTGTCTTTTGTTCAGTTGATGTGGCACCCATTTTCCTTCCTTTAAAATCTTTCCCATTGCTTGTAAACAATCGGAAATTGTTTGCTGAGCAACGTTTAATCTTTCTGCAAGTGGTTTTTGAGTTTGACACACATCTTCATCCAATAATGCTTGTAACTGTTGGTCTTCCACCTTTTTACGGTTGACCTACATGTTCTTTGTCCTTCACATTGAAATCATCACTTTAAAAGCGTTTAAACCAGCATTCACAAGTATCTTGAGATGGAGCATGTTCACCATAAGCTTCCCGAAGTGTACAATAGCTTTCAGCAGCACTTTTCTTCAAAATAAAGTAATGAATTAAAACTTCCCACAAATGCTCTTTTTTTGGCATGAAATTCGACATTTTTAAGTGTAAAAATATCTATGATGTTACCACCTTCAGAAAACTTGACATATGAAGTTTTGAAGCTTGTTGTCAATACAACAAAATAGCATACATATCAAATCGTATATATATCAACATATGTGTAACTCCATCTATTGAAAAAAATCTGCATTATTAACCAGTAACCTGTTAAAAAAAAATGCCATAGAGCAGTCTTAAAGGTATAATTAAAAGTTAACTTTTCCATTTCAAAAATTATTGTCATCTCTTGTTCTGGAATATGGCCCTAAGCTCAGCTAGTATGTTAGGCTTCAATGTCCAGCCATGCCTTTTATTATATGTACCTGTTTGAAATTTCCATAGACTGGTCCAGAGGAAAGGGAGCAGGGAGTTCATTATAGAATCCTTCATTTCAAATGTAACAGCTAACACTTACTGAATGCTTACTATATGCTGGGTATTATGCAGAGCATTTTATTTTAAATATATTTTTATTGATTTCAGAAAGGAAAGGAGAAATAGAAACATCCATGATGAGAGAATCATTGATTGGCTGCCTCCTGCATGCCCCCTACTGGAGATCGAGCCCACAATCCCTGCATGTGCCCTGACCAGGAATTGAACCGTGACCTCCTGGTTCATAGATCAATGCTCAACCACTGAGCCACACTGGCTGGGTATATACAGAGTACTTTACATATATTATCTCATTTAATTCTAACAAAACCCTATTAGGTAGATATGATTATTCCTGTTCTTCTAGAAGCATCTCTCTTATTGTTGTTCTGTGGGTCTTCTACTACTGTTATTCTGAGAGTTCTCTTCTCCATCATTTTCTTTGCTTCTCTCCTGCTTTGAATCCCCTATACCTGCCCTTACTATGGTGAACTCCCTCATTTTGGTGAAGTATATCCTCCATTGCATTCCTAAGAATACCAGTGTCTGAATATGTCATTATTGTACCTTTATCATTGAAAAAGATAGTTTGTCCGGGTATAGAATTCTATGTAGGAAATATTTTTCTCTCATAATTTTAGAGATATTATGTCTCTTGTCTTTCAGTTTTGGTATGATCTGTTTTGTGACTCCCAAAACACTGAGTAGAATTGCTTTATCTCTGTTGCTCTGAAATGTCAAAATGATGTGTCTCACTGTGGGTCTTTTTTTTTTTTTTTTCATGCAATTTGCCTAATACTCAATGGAGCCTTTCACTCTCAAAATTCATTTCCTTGAGTTCAAGGAAAGTTTCTAAAAAGTTTATGTAGTATTCTAAGTGGTATACTCCAAAATGTATAACATAAATTCAACCATGAAGAAACATTAGACAAACCCAAATTGAGGGACATTCTGTAATTAGCCAGTACTCTTTAAAAATGTCAAGATTGTGAAAGACAAAGACTGAAGTACTTTTCAGATTAAAAGAAACTAAGGAGAAGTGACAATTAAATGCAATGTGTAATCCTGAATTGGACCCTGGATCAAAATTAGTAGGGCATTTAGCAAAATTAGAGTGAGGTCTGTAGGTTAACTAATAGTATTCCTGGTTTTGATCATTGTGCTATAGTTATATAAGATGTTAACATTTGAGGAAGATGACTGCTTTTTTCTTCAAGTATTTTTCTGTCCTATTCCTCTTTCTCTTGACTGCTTGAAATTTTTTTGCAAATGCTTTTTATTTTTTATATTAGATAAACTCTATGGATATGTCTTCAAGTTAACATAAATTTTCTCCTGTCATTTTAATCATATGTTAAGCCCACCCACCAATCTTTAATTCAGATACATCTTTTATTTCTAAAATATACATTTGATTCATTTTTAGAATTTCCATTTCACTGCTGAGATTCCCCATCCATTCATTTTTAATTATGATGATATTTTCCTTTTAAGTCCTTAAACATTTGTATAATAGCTGTTTTAATTTCCCTGTCTGCTAATTCCTAGATCTGGCTCATCTTGTGGTTGGTTTCTATTAATTATATTTTCTTTGATACTGGATTATATTTCTTTGTATATTTAGTAATTTTTATTGTATCTTGGACAGTATGTGGTACAGGATGGAGACCATGAATTGTGTTATCTTTCCCTGAAGGGTATTGATTTTTGTTCTAGCAAGTTGTTAACAGAAGTCCAAATGCTATCTCTCATCAGGTGAACATCAACTGAAATCTATGCTCAACCCTCTCAGCCTTCCAGCTGTTGCCTTTCACACATGCAGTTCAAGAATCAGCTAGGAATTTGGGTAGAGTGTATATATAGGTCTGGAGGGACTCTTGTGGCTTCTTTCTTTCAGGGATTGGCCCCCTCACTTTCCAGCTATGCCATTAACCTCAAACTAGGTCTTCAAACAAGTAAGATTTTGGATTTCTGCTTAAGTTCTAATCACTTCACCATATGAACTATGGAGTACTACCAGGTGGAAAGCCATTTAAATACGAATCCAACCCACTATAGTTCTTTCTTTCTTTCAAGATTGACTCCCCTCCAGTTTCTGCCGGCTTTTGTCAGTCTATGGTGCTTTCAAATAGTTATTTTCAGACTACATAATTATTATCTGCAAAAGGATCAATCTAATATACTCTAGTCTGCCATTACCAGAAATTATACCATATTACTTTTTATTTTCTATTGATATTATATAGGATTGAAAAAAAAAACACCTTTTACATTTTTTTTTGGTGAATCATGGCAGTAGCTCATCAAAATTTTATAAAAACATTAAGCATATTACTAATCTTATTTTTTCTTTTTCTCTTGTAGACAAGAGATGATTTTCTAGGTCAAGTGGATGTTCCTCTTTACCCATTACCGGTTAGTATAAATGTTCATGATTTTACCTTCTATGTTTATTGTTTTTACTTTAATAAATACATAAACATACACAATGTAATTAATATAAATATTTGATTTCTAAAATATATACTGATATCATTCCTTGAGTATATTATTTTCTGAAAACACATCTCAATTTTCTGTTTTAATTTTATCTTACATGAACCCCAGTAAGAAACAGAGCCATTGAAGTTTGTTGACATGAAAACATTCTTTGAGAAAGATCAATTTGAAAATATTCTATTAAATAACTAGAATGGGGAGATAGGTTATAACAATATAGACATGAAATCTGGACCAAGCATATAACAATGGAGGAAAACAGATTCAGGAAACATTTTATAGTAAAACTGCATTGGACCAAATTTCTGACAGGGGGGTTAAAAATGAATAAAAAGTACAGATAATACAGGTTGAACTTGGGTAATAAGGGTGGTATCTCAAATAGAAAAGTTAGGAAGAAAAGCCCTTTTGTTTTGAAATATGATAGATATAGTTATTTTTTTACCATACTGAATTTCAGTAGAAAACAGGAAAAATGAAAACTTAAAAGTGGGCAGCTGACAGAGATGTGAAAATAAATTGTGTAGGGAAAAGGGACTAGAAGAATTGAGAGAAATCAATGTCGAGGTAACAGCAGACTCTCTGGGAATGATTGGCTGGCTGTCCAAATAAGAGAGATGAAAGCACTGAAGGCAAACATTGACCCTAAGATGGCCTGGTCTGTCCGAGGAGAAGGAGAAACAGACAAGGAGAGACAGCAAAAGAACCAAGTGAAATAATGTCATGAGAATTCAAGAGTTCCACGACTGAATGGGTAGTTAACAATGCAAAATGCCACAGGGAATAAAGGATAATAAAAAAGGCTGCTGAACTTGATAAGAAAGAGAAGTAATACTTCTTTACCATATCAGTCTTTTGAGATATTTTTGACTCTCTACCACCTTCAGAGATTACAAGCTTTTAATAATACATTGAATTCAGTCTTATTTTCCACGCTGTTTACTTTTTCATTCTCCTAGGATTGTCTCTCTGCTCTAACCATGCCAACTTTCTGACATGGCATATTCCACTAACCACTCTACTGTTTTTTCACTTCCTACCCTATTTTTGGCTCCACAACACACCTGTTCAGCTAGTTTTAGACTGAGTTGTGATGCCGGTTGCAATTCCTATGGTGCAGAAAAGTGAAAGCACTATTGATTGTAACCATTTCATGTAAAGCTACTTTTTTCCCTCAGTTCTAACTTCAGTTATGTCTTAAATCATAGTTCATGAATAGTCTTGAAAAGTACATATTTTGGTGTTCTAGATACATCTTGAAAACCCACTGTTTTATTCTAGACAGAAAATCCAAGAATGGAGAGACCATATACATTTAAGGATTTTGTTCTTCACCCAAGAAGGTCAGTAACTATAAAATAATAACATTAAGTTTTTAAAGAATTTCTTTAAACCACTTTGAAAATTCAAAGTTTAAACCTTTGTAAATAAGCTACTTCTAAATATTTTATTATTTTTCAAAAGTTTTATTGTTATATCTGATTACAGAGTAATATATGCATACTACAGAAATTAGATATATTATGTAATATGTTTTATATAATATATACATAATACAGAAAAGCGATCACACCCCTTTGGGAAAGATTTGTCCCTCTAACACTTAATCAGACTAAAAGGCTAAAATTTGTCATTTTATATCGCTTTTATATCGTCAAGTGTATGTAATTTTGTCACACTGTGCTTTAAAAAATCACAAACATCAGTTTATCTAAAACTAATATCCGACTTGACAGGCACAAAACCGATTTCAGAAAAACCTAACTACATGTTGTGCACTTTAATAAAAAAGGGTATTTCATAAAACTCAAATATTTAGAGAAAATAACATGAGTAAAGCCTGGAATCTAAAACCCGTAATCTCATGTTCCTAAACTAAATTACTTGATTTTTATCAAAATGCTGATGTTTTAAGCTCCTTTTGACCTTCTGTGCCACATAGTCAAGTCTCGTCAGGACACGTGTGAGGACTGACCTGTCAGGAAGGTCAGAGTAACGCAGAGAAAGGACATCTGTGAAAACAGTGTGTGCCTTGTTTTTAAAACTAGAAAATCCATTTGAAAAGCATACGATGGGAACGTAGCAAATTTTTTTTCCACTTAAAAATTATTTCTAAAAATTACTCTTTGCAATATAAATAGTAAAGAAAAAGGGACAGTGCTCTCTGGCTATTAATATTTACTTTCTCTAAGAGAAGTCACATATTTAAATTCTGTAAGAGTCTTGGAATACAAATCTCTTTTCTTCCTTTAATTTTAGACTGATTGTGACATCTGCACACCAAGAATAACTAAATAAATATCCCTTCTCTTATTTGATTGCCCTACTAGCCTGCTTTTCAATTTGTCAAATCCTTACCTTTGAAAACTATAACAATTTACATCTTCTATCTGCACTGGATATTACTGCAAGTGCAGAAAGAACTTTATTCAGATAGAAAACGAACTATATTCCCAGATTTTTAAAGCCCCATTAAGTCCAAACCCACAGACTTACTATCTAGATGGAAAGATAGGAAACCTATCATTGCAGAGAAACTCTTCTATAAAACATTGTCAGGGCAAGATTTCTGTATCTATCTTTTATAGCAATAAGTCAGTGTTCACAGCCCCTTAAATATGGTGACAGGCCACCGTTAGTGGCCTTGGAAATAAGCATCAGGGATTTTATTTACCACTCAGGAAAGGTCCACTTACCAAGTCCATGCGAACTATACACAGAGGAACAACTAAAAAGATTAAGGGGTCACCGGGGAGGCATATTTCTTGAAGACAGAATAAAAGAATTAGGACTCTTGTCTAGAGAGACAAAAGCTAATTGGTAACATAACTGATATCTATAAAAATCACCGCAAAAAAAATCTATATAGAAAGGTGGGACAAGCAAAGATTTCTTAAGTAAATAGGATGTTAAAATTGATGGGGGCAATAAGTCTTAAGTTAGAAATTTAAGGAAAACAGGTTTAAAAAATTTAAATATTAATACAGCGGGTAGCAACCTTTAGCTTAGACAACTCATTATTCAAAGAGGTGATAACATTATGAAAACAGATCAGATAAATTAGTGTATGGCAGATTCACATAGTTGTCAAAGAAAGACATAGTGTAGGATTCAGACGGTCGTCAGGCTTTGCTCTTCCCTCTCCCATCATCTTATACAATGTGGTAGATTAGAATCTCGAAAGCACGTCTCCCGGGGATGCCTTTCCCCATCTCCAGAATGCTGTGGCTTCACAGAGTAGGCAAAATAAAACCTCAAGTTCGCTTGTTTCACCTGGACCTCATCATCTAGGCCATCACCACCTCCTTTATGTCCCCGGTAATCCAGCCAAACCCAACCACAGCCATTCCCTTAATTGCACCCTAGGTTTCCCATCTATTTCCTTGTTTTTGCTCTTTTATTCACTCAGATGCCTTCCCCTTCACTGCCACAGATCAAAACCTTCATCAATCTGTGAGGCCCAACTCAAATCCCAACTTGTCTTTCAAACTCTCTCTGATCTTTAACTTAAACTTCCTGAGTATCTTATTTATCTCATGACAATTATTTATACGTGTATGTTCCTTTTGTTCCACTGTGTATTCCTTTTCCTAGATACCTTCTGCACTGGAACTTGTCTTTGAGTCTCCTCTAGTAGCTAGTGGGTGTTCAATAAACTCTTAGTAAATGAATGCTTTTCTCCTAGTGTTAAAGTTTTGTGAATAATTATTTTCTTTTTTACAGTCATAAATCAAGAGTTAAAGGTTATCTGAGATTAAAAATGACTTATTTACCTAAAACCAGTGGCTCAGAAGAAGATAACGAAGAACAGGCTGAGGAATTAGAGGTGAGATTTTGTAAATATTTGGTTAAACTAAAAATGAAATACCTAATTCCTTATTTTAGTATTCTGTGAAGAAAAAATAACTTTATACAGTGTGTGATATAAATTATTTACCTGGATATTTATTTTACCCCACCATGTATTAAACATTTCTTTCTTCTAAGGGTATTTCTATAGAATGAATGGCCATTATCAATGGAATTCTAAAAGGTTAGAGAATAGAGAACACAGTGTTTATAAATGAAAGCATTTGTCATAACTAAGTCATTAACTGTTTCTAGTTTTTTGGTTTTCTAAACCATGTCATGTTCTACTTCATCAAAAAAACTTTGTAAGTTAAATACATGGAAATTTGAGGAAACTCAACTAATTAGGAACTTTTTAATGAAATGTAATTTATTTTCCTATTATGGTTGGGGAGGGGACTCATAGGAAAGGAGGGGAATGAAAAAGAGAGGAGAGAATTCAAGTTATCTACTAGGCCACATTTATTTGGGGCAAATAGAATTTAACAATTTTCATGGATGACAGAATAAGAGGAAGTCCAAGTCAAGTATTTGGGCAGAACTACATACACCTGAGTTGTGTGAAGAAGAAGCCGGCCCAGCCAATGTGGCTCAGTGGTTGAGTGTCCACCCATGAACCAGGTGGTCACCATTCGATTCTCAGTCAGGGCACATGCCTGGGTTACGGGCTCGATCCCCATTTGGGGGCGTGCAGGAGGCAGCTGATCAATGATTCTCTCTCATCATTGATTTTTCTCTCTCTCTCCCTCTCCCTTCCTCTCTTTGAAGTCAATAAAAACATATTTTTTAAAAAAAGAAGAAGAGGCTGAGAGTATATATTTGGAATAGAATTAGTCTGGGAATTGGAGAGTGGAATCCTAGTTGCAAGGTCTGCTATGAGCCAGCCCAGTGATTCTGTGAGTCTCTGAACTTCTCTGAACCTCAGGCTCTTTATTTGCAGAGTGACAGGGTAGGGTCAGATGAGCTCTAGGGGTTCTTCCAGCAGAAAAATTTACGATTTGAAAAAAGGACAAAAAAACCTGCCCACCGAGGTTCCCATTGCAGGAGCATTATCATCAAAAGATAGCACATAGTGTATTGGCACCAACTTGCTTGGGAGGGTTTGTGTGTGAGTGTATATGTATAGGTTTTGTGTGTGTGTGTGTGTGTGTGTGTGTGTGAGGCATACCTCCCTTAACAGCCATGCCTCTTTGCCTGAGGGTCTGGTTAAATCTTCAGAAGAACTATAAAGCTGAGGAACCTCCCCAAAGACTAGGCTCTACTTCACAAACCCATATACCTTGAGAAGGGAAAGAAAGCTCGAGAATAAGCAATGCTTTTGCTACAGAACTTTCAGGGAATTTTTTATATACACAAATGGGGAATCTGAAATAACTTTTTGTCTTTCAGTCATCCTATATAATAAAACCCTAATATGCAAATTGACCGAACAACGGAACAACCGGTTGCTATGGCGTGCATTGACCACCAGGGGGAAGACGCTCAATGCAGGAGCTGCCCCCTGGTGGTCAGTGCGCTACCACAGGGGGAGCGTCACTCAGCCAGAAGCCGGGCTCACGGCTGACAAGTGCAGTGGCGGTGGCGGGAGTCTCTCCCGCCTCTGCTACAGGAGGGCGGTAAGGAGTGAGGGGTCCGGGACTGCGAGAGACCGGGACTGTGAGAAAGATGTCTGACTGCCTGCTTAGGCTGATCCCTGGGGCCTAAGCTGGCAGGCGGACATCCCCGAGGGTTCCCGGACTGCGAAAGGGCACAGGCCAGGCTGAGGGATTCCCCCCAGTGCACGATTTTTGTGCACCGGGCCTCTAGTAGAATATAATTAGCCCTTTGTTTGACTGTCAAAGAACTTGGTGTCCTTTCTTATGTCTATAATCGTTTACTTGATTACCTTTTTATCTGTTTAGTTTTCCTCTGATTTATCATATAATAATCTCTTAAAAGTTTTAAGATATTTATTACATCAAAGTTTCTGACATTTTGGTGCACAGGGTATTTTGCATAATGAAATTCTGTTTGAAATGAAGGCTGTCTGCTGTAAAGAAACAAAATTCTTTATTTAGTAACTTTTAAAAAAATTAACAGCATTTTATTATTTAGTAACCTGCTCCAAGTTCTGCCCACATGCACATATCACAGGTACCTTATTCACAGTTGAGTTTCTGTGGGCAGAGCTGCTTCGCTTCATTTGTGGTCTCCTGTCTCAGTGTTTGAATTCCCTCAGAATGCACCTTATAATTTCAGTAGATGTAAGCGTGTAGGAGTTTATTTATGAAAGGCCCCAGGAATTCAAACACATGAATCTGTGCTTATTTATGTTCTGTGTAGCTAATGACCAGAGAAGTCTTGCCTTTGACATCTAGTTTGTGACTGAATATACACAATTCTACTATTTAAAGAAAACAATGGTCATCTTCATAAGAGGCTACCCTAAGGCAGTTGGTCTTCCTTAGTAAGATGAAGTCTGGCTATAAAGATATTATGTAGCATTTTATTTTTATACCCCTTGCAACTGTTGATTTGGGTGTACGTATTTCACAAGATTAACATACAGTGTTGGTTGTAGCTCTGAATGCTTTGTTTCTGGCCTTTGACTCCATTCAATTGTGGGCAGTTGCATCTCTAGCTTTGAGGTTAGTAATTAAATAACATTCATTGATACTTAGAAAATTATTCTGTGAGGAACCTTAGCTGATACATGTTTAATAGGAAGGCATTATGTAAAAAAAATTAGAGTTCAATCTTTCTAAACAATGTTAAAATGTACAGCTGTACTTTTTCAAACTTGAAACAGGCTTTTTACAAAGGGTTCTTAAGTTAGTTTTTTCTTCTCCTTGGATTTGTTTAGATAGCATAAATTCAATAAGCAGACCTTTAAGAAGATTTTAACTATTTTCTGATACCATATTCCTAGCTCTATTTTTTACAGTTCTTTAAAGCAGTAACAAGGACCATTAATAATTGTCATTAATCTGCAGAAAAATAATCAGTGACCATATTAAACAAAATACTTGTTAGTCTTTTTTTGAGAGTAAAATATAAAAATTCAACTCACATGCTTTGGAAATTGAAACTGGAGAAATAAAATGTAATATATATATACAAGGCTAAATTTTAGGTTTGTTGATCCTATATTATGATTATTTAAATAAAAGGAGAGAGATAAAAGGAAGGTAAACATAGATGGAGAGAAAAAGTAAGAGGATAGAGGGGAGGAACAGAATGGAGTTTGGGCATTAAAAAATAATAAAGCGATGCCAGTTCCCATAGAAGAGGTAAAAAGGAAAACATAACAAAGAGGAAGAAAGAGAGTTCCCATCCACATTCCTTTTCCCAGAATAATTCTTTCAGCCTTCCTCTCCCTCTGCTTCTCACCTTCGGTTCCGCCTCAGGCTTTCACAGTCCCCTCCAAGCTGACCAGAAGAGCCCAGCCTTGATGTAGAAACCCTGCTGCCAGAAAAGACTCCTTTCCTCCCCAGCTCTTCTCCCTGATCCCTCAATTTTAGATCCAGTTTTCAATATAGAAGAATTCTCTTCCATCTTCTCAGCCATCAATTGGTTGACGCACAACAGTCCTTTAGTGTGGGATCACCAGTGCCTAGGGGGAAAAAGTCTGTATATATTAAAGAAATTATTTTTTGTCTGTTATCATAGTACCAAATGGTGGCCAGTTTGTCGTTTTTTATTTATTTTTTAATTTTTTTATAATGTCATCTCTGGAAATTTTTAAACATTGATTTGTTGTTGCAATGATTTATATATTCATTGGTTGATTCTTGTATGTGCCCTGACCAAGGATCAAACCCCTAACCTTGGTGTATGGGGACGACACTTTAACCAACTGAGCTACCTGGCCAGGGCTTTTGATGATCTTAAAAGTTGACTGTGTGCTCATTCTTTGTTTAATTTCTGGACTTGGGTATGCTAAATTACATTTTAAATGTCCTCTGGCATAATTTATAAGGTCAAAAAATCAAGCATAAGCTTAATTGTTAACCCTCTGTTTTCAGCCTGGCTGGGTTGTTTTGGACCAACCAGATGCTGCTTGCCATTTGCAGCAGCAACAAGAACCTTCTCCTCTACCTCCAGGCTGGGAAGAGAGACAAGATATTCTTGGAAGGACCTACTACGTAAACCATGAATCTAGAAGAACGCAGTGGAAAAGACCAACCCCTCAGTATGTGCTGATGGCTTTCATGTTTGTAATCTGAATACATTGTGACCATTACTTTTCTTTTTGAAGTCATGTTTCCAATGCATTTGTAATAGAATAGGGATCCATAAACTGCACTAAGATATTTATTGTCCAGGGCTTAAAAAATGCTATCTTTGCTGCATGTTTTTAAAAATAATTTGGTAATATTCAAAATTATTTGAGTCACAAATACCACCCTTCTAATTGCTTCTATATTTTAATAAATTGTTAACTGTGCTTGTTTTTAATATTATGTAGCCACAAAGGATACATTTTTCTCTTTAGAATTATTTAGAAAATCTTAGAGATTTTTTGTCATTTTTTACTAAAATATTATAAAATCTTAAATTCTATAGCACACTTTAAAAAATACAAATTATTTTTAAAATATAAAGGATTCAATTACAAGGATCTTTTGTTAAGCACCCATTTGCCAGTCTGGTCAATGTGTGCATAATTTCTACCATACACAAGATCAAGGACAGAATGACCTTTAAGAATGATCTTCATTCTAATACTAGAGGCCCAATGCACGAAATTCATGCAAGGGGCTCAGCCCTCACAGCTGTGGCGGCTTGCCTCAGCCCTTGCAGCCTCGGCTTTGTCCGGAAGGTCATCCGGAATGTCGTCCAGAAGGTCATTCGGCCATCCAGCTTAATTAGCATATTACACTTTTATTATTATAGATACATCTCCTCAGTGACATTTTTCTCATATTCTCATCAGACTATATATTTGTAAATAAATTCTCCAATTATTCATATTTATTATCAACTATCCTATTCCTCATAGCCTTCTGAAGTCTTTCTTGAGTTTTCCGCTTTTTGACACACTTAAATTTTTTTTATTTTCCATGAACCTTCTAATTTTTTGCCTGTTATAGCCCAAGTACTTTCATAGGTATTTTATGTTCTCAGATCCTCCCAAAGCAAATGAGTGATCATGGCACAGAGGCATCGATCTCTGTAAAATGACATACAGATTGCAAAACTGAAGACACTGTAAAATTCTGCACAATTGTTGTATTGCCTACTCAGTATTATGGCCAGCCCAATTTGAGCAGAATCACATTTCTTTCTCTATGGTTGATGTCGTTTTCAGCTAGCCAAAATTAAGTATTTAGGGGGGGAAATCTGTCAAAATTATGTGTTCTCCAGCAACAGTACAGTAAGAACTGGTGTTCTGACTATCCTGGGCTTATATAGCATTAAATAAATTAACAATACTTTGTTATTAAATATTTGTAAAAAAATCTTGATCTGATGGTCTAGATAAAATAAATGTAAATAATAGAATACTATGATTAACAAATGACTGGGGCAATTTAGGAAAGGTACAGTAGAAAAGACCTGCCCCTCACTATGGTACCCCCATGCTTTTCTTAAACCCAGACATACCTTTATTATTAGACCAGGACCATTACTATACTAAGGATACCAGTTAATAATGTGGATTTTTTTTTCAATAGATGGAGTTACACATATGTTGATATACATGCGATTTGATATGTATGCTATTTTGTTGTTTTGACAACAAGCTTCAAAACTTCATATGTCAAATTTGCTGAAGGTGTTAA